CGACTAAGCTGACCTGGGTTGACCGTCCGGCTCCACAGCGACGTCCCGGATCGGGCAATGGTGACTCGCCGCCAAACTTCTCGGCCGACATGGCGCACAAGCCAGTCAAGAGCGCGCGCAAACGGCGCACCAGCATCCCGGAGAAGCCCAACTACCCGCTCAATCTGTGGAGCATCATGAAAAACTCGATCGGCAAGGAGCTGACCAAAATCCCTGTGCCGGTCAGTTGGCTGTCGGCCGCCTGTACCACCCTCTGTATTTGTTTAGTTTGGTATCCGGAATTGGAATGGGCAGTCACAGGCGTCACTAGTCAGTCACGGTCGCAGTCACTAGTTGTGTACTTGGTGCCATGCTTGTGCTGACTTTGACACTTTTGGCTGCTGATACCTCCATTGGTAGCAGGCTTTTGACCGTGACGATAATGAGCGGGCAAGCGTGCTTGAGCAAGCTACCATGATCATGTCGAGCCGTTGTCTTTTTCATTGTTGCAGGGATTGGTGCTGTTCGGACATGTTGGGTATTGCTTGTCGCTCGTGTGTGCAAAATGGTGGTAGCAGAATATTGTGTTATTTGCCATCATGTGCGTGATGTAATGCATCATACACATCATGAACATATCGAAACCTGTCTGCCAGGATGTAGTACAACAGCCGTTACGTTTGCGAATGGCCATCTAGACGGTTTTCGGACAGTCCGGCGGGCACTACCCAACTGCCGCCAGCGCCCATGTGTGGCCAGTGCTGGCCGGGACGGTGCTGGCAGGCCCGCTGACCTGCGCCGCCCGTTGCCAGGTGAACTTCTCGGAGCCACTCTCCATGCTGCAGCGCCTGACGGAGGACTTCGAGTACAGCTATCTGCTGGACAGGGCGGCCGAGTGCTCCGACTCGTGCGAGCAGATGTGCTATGTGGCGGCGTTCACGGTCAGCGCGTACTCCACCACCAGCACGCGCTCTGGCAAGCCGTTTAACCCGCTGCTCGGCGAGACGTACGAGTGCGACCGGCGCGACGACTTCGGCTGGAGGGCCGTCTCCGAACAGGTGAGGGCGCAGACTTCGGCTGGAGAGTCATCTCCGAACAGGTGAGGGCGCAGACCGCGGCTGGAGGGCCATCTCCGAACAGGTGAGGACGCAGACTTCGGCTGGAGAGCCATCTCCGAACAGGTGAGGGCGCAGACTTCGGCTGGAGGGCCATCTCCGAACAGGTGAGGGCGCAGACTTCGGCTGGAGGGCCATCTCCGAACAGGTGAGGGCGCAGACCGCCGCGGCTGAAGGGCCATCTCCGGGCAGGTGAGGACGCAGACTTCGGCTCGAGGGTCATCTCCGAACAGGTGAGGGCGCTGACTTCGGCTCGAGAGTCATCTCCGAACAGGTGAGGGCGCAGACCGCGGCTGGAGGGCCATCTCCGAACAGGTGAGGGCGCAGACTTCGGCTGGAGGGCCATCTCCGGGCAGGTGAGGACTCCGATTGCCGACTTGAGACCATCTTCTAACAGGCGAGTTTGCAGACCGCGGCTGGACGGCCATCTCCGAACAGGCGAGGGTGCAGAACAGACTGCGGCTGGAGAGCCATCTCCGAACAGGTGAGGGCACAGGCTGCGGCGGAAGGGCTGTCTCCGAACAGGTGAGGACGTCAGCTGTGGCTTGAGGGTACTTTCCGAACAAGTGAGGGCCGCACGCCGGGTGAGAGAACACCGACTGGTCGACTGGACGGAGCGGGTGGGCGCTAGGAGGCAGGCTGGGACGGCGTAGTGCGGCTGGTCGGGGCCAGCCACACTTGAGATCGGCCAGACCGCTGGCGCCCTTCGCTCTGGGCTTGCTGTCGGCTGGCACACCGGCCGGTGAGCGTTCGGAGGCGATGCGGGGGGCTGGCCATAGCCTGGGTGGCTCTGCTGACTTTCCTGTGACGTCACGTCAGTGGGTGGGGCCATGTGGTGCGCGCTGCTGGCCGTGCACCTGGCGTAATGCGCTAGACACCAGATGCTTGGTTATGACACGACAAATGAGGAATTTCCTCCGCTCGGGGACCGCACTGACTGCTGCCGTCTGTGCTCGCTGAACGTCTCTCGGAAGCCCCGTCGCCTAGCACCCGCGACCCCAGACCTAGGTCAGGCGGAGCTGTGACTGACTGGAGTACCCCTACTGCTGTGTGACGGTGATCCCCCGTATCCTTTGCGTGAAGTGTTCTGCCCTGCTTCATTAGCGCGAGATCTTTGGACATGCTGATCTGGTTTTGTGGGATTCTAGCGTAAACAGCGCCCATGCGGTCACAGTTTGCTAGCGACATCTGCAGATGGGTGTAGATTTTTAAACTCATGATTCCACCGCTGGGCGACGTTACGTTCGCAGCTTGCGAGCTTAAGTCCCCTGGAGCTCTCTTGAGCAGCTGGTTTGCTTACTCGTATTCGTATTGTGCGGCAGCAAGCGGTGCCATCTAATCGGGATTTTTAGACGTCGAAGATTTGTGTTATGCTTGTTATCAGCCAATATGATTAGGTCATATTGCCAGGAAACATACCAATGCGCATACTGCGCAATGCGCAATGCGCAACAATGGGCGCTAAATGGCTTTTAAAGTCGAGGCGCCCGAAAACCACCACTCGACATCGTCTGACGCTGGCGAAGAATTATCAATACCTATCTATTCATAGTTTGTATTGTGTGTTATGGCCACCGCATAGCCACAGCACGGCGTTAGCATCTATGGTCAAGGGCATTGTACGACATATATCTTAAGGTTCTCACTTAAGCCTACTACACGTGCTCAGCTCATCCCTGCTGCCGCAGTAGATCGACGTATCGTGAGAAAAACAACGTGGTGCAAGCTGAGCGTGTCGCAAAGGACCCCTAGTGCTAGAGGCATGCCTCCTAAACGGGTCAGGGGTCTGGTGCGCCTCGCCCAGCCGTGCACCAATAGTTGGTGACGTGTGAGCGTGGTGTCCGGAGGCGAGTTGGCGCTGGCTGTGGTTACTGCAGGCCAGGGAAAACACTTGCTCCGTTTCGGTCAGGTGTAATGGGGTTCATTCGGCCATGAAACGGTAACAGTGAGTATGTGAAACATCTATGCTAGCGGTACTCTAGCCGTATACATGTACCTCGCGTTACGTAATTGTAGCATTTGCACCAAACAGCATCTGAACGATGTCTCGCTGCCGTGTTGCACCGCATTGATATAATTGTTCTGCACTTTCGGCCAAATTGTCTGCAGTTGTTGCGTTGTAACGCAACAGACGTCAGACAATGCCATCCTCACAGCCGCGCTGCCTCAGCACAGCGTCCACTCCCACAACCTCCCCCGTATGTGTGTGACGTCCGCACGCCGTTGGGCAAGACCGGCAGCTTGCGCCACGGCTCGCTCCGCCCGGCGCTGGCGCCGCCGCGTCATCGCGCGTCGGCCGGCTGCCGGACGCCGAGGCGACACCCGCTCGAGGGCGCGTCGCTCCCCTGATACCAGCTGCCGGACAGCGGCCGGTCGGGCCGCGCGCCATTTTCACTTTCCCGCCGACGCGGGCGTCGCGCGAGGATGGCGCGCCGGTCGTTAGTCTCGCGCGGCCGCGGAGAAACGGCGTCCGCGATCTGCGTGGCGCATGCGTGCCACCTTCGTTGCAGTTTTCCAGGGACGCATTTTTTAATCCGCGTTGGCTTTAGTTCTTTGACTGCTTGACCTGTCGCTCCTGACTATTCGATTCTGTGCTGCATTTTATATTTGGCTTGCATACACAAGCTGGGTGAAATGAACACAATGCCACCAGACCAGTGCTTATCATTTATTTAACACAAAAAAATGAGTCGCCGCCGCAACAAAAAATAAATAACACACTGAAAGATGTGCTTACATGCAACAACTACCTCATCACAGCTTGCGCACTAGCGACATCAATGTGCGCGCGTTCTGTACATCATATCGCCTCTTCTAACGTTGGCTACATCTGCCGCGAGCGGAGTGGGTTGCGCACTCGTGTCATCCCTCGGACGGCGTCCGTCGCACGCGCTCCGAACGCCGCCCGTCCGACTGTGCCGGCAGCCTCGGACGGCTCTCCGTCGGCCCCATTGTACACGCGCTTTTCACGGTCTTGACCGCCGTCGGCGGACGTCAGCGGCGCCGCACCGCCGGCCCGCGGCCGCCGGTCAGCCCGTACAGCGCCATGGCTACGTGGTAGTAGGGCTGGTGCGCCAGGCCGAGCCGCCGGTCCAGCTGCTGCACGGTCAGCGGGCGGCGCCGCAGCTCGCTGGCGGACGGCGGCGTCACCTGGTACGGCCGGTCGCCGCCGGCGGCGGCGGTGGCGGCGGCGGCAACGGCGACCGGCTCTGCGCCGTGCACCTCGCGCAGCAGGTCGTCGACGATGCTCTCCAGGTCGTTGTCGTACTCGATGACCAGCTCGACGACGTCGTCGGAGCGCGGGTCGTCGAGCAGCGCGCCGGTGACCACCACCGTGCCGTCGTCGCGGCGCTCCGTCGTCTGCGGTGACCGGAGCAGCGGGCGGCCGGACGCGGTAGGCGCCGCCGACTCCGTCAGCGCCTGCTCGACTGGCGCCAGCCGCGCCGGCTCAAAGTCCGGGCTGTCGGGCCCCGGCGGCGGCGCGAAGTAGCTGGAGGGTCGCGCTGACGGCGTTCTCGGTCCGGAGACGGGCGAGGCGGCGTGGATGGCGTCCGCGGCTGCCTCGGGGCGCGGTTGGTCGACTCCGGCTGGTCGGGCGGTGTTGTGGCCAGCCGTCGGCCGGAGCAGAGCACCGTCCGAGTCGGCTGCCTCGTCTTGCTCGGTCGGGAATGAGCTGTCAAACCGCGCGGAGGTCTGGAAGGAAGTGTCAAACTGGCCGCCGGTCTGGAACGCGGCGTCGAACGGTGCGCTCGACTGGAACGAGGCTTCGAATGGACGGCCGGACTGGACTGCGTTCTCGAGCCTCCCGCTGGGCTGGAATGAGTTCTGGAACTGTACGCCGGACTGGAAGGAGTTTTCCTCACGACCTTCGGACTGGAACGAGTTCTCGGCCTGCGAGTCAGACTGGGCCGCGCTGCCGAACTGGCCGCCGGACAGCGGCGGCGACGAGGTGGAGATCTGGACGGGTCGGAAGGCGGTCTGGTCAGGCGGCCCCTGCTCCGGAGGGCTCGGCGTGAACTCCTGGCGCGCTGGCTGCAGCTCGTGAGCAGTCGGTGCCTCGGGCGGTCCCCGCTGCCGCGGCGGTACCGGGAAGAACGGTAGCCGCGGCCGCTGTTGCCGCTCGGGGCCGCCGAACAGCCGCGTCAGCATGTTGTTGACGAATCCGCGACGCGGCGGCGGCCGGCGCGGCGGCAGCGGCTGGTAAGGCGGCCGGAACGTCTGTGGGGGCTCCTGGAACTCCCGCTGCCTCGGCTGGTACGGCTGCTGGTACGGGTCTGGGGACTGGTACTGCTGCTGGTACGACTCCGTGGATCGGTACTGCTGCTGGTACGGCTCCGGGGACTGGTATTGCTGCTGGTACGGCTGATGGAACGGGTACTGCCCGTGCGGCGGCCGGCCGGCCAGCAGCACGTCGTCGTCGCGCTCTGGCACGTACTCGGCCCTGTACTGCTGCGTCAGCCGCACGCGCTGCGGGAAGCGCTCGGCCGGCGGACCGACCGTGCGCCGCGCCTCGGCGCCGGCCAGGTCGGCGGCCGGCAGGGCGCGGCCCGGCCGTGCGCCGCCCGCCTCCGGCTGCACGGCGAACACGCGCAGCCAGCCGGGCACGGCCTCGCCGCGCCGGCTGGTGGCACCGCCGCTCTGCGCCGGGACCGCCGCCGATGCGGCGGGAGCGCGCGGCACCGTCAGCCCGGCGGCCGGCCGCGCCCGGACCGTGGTCGCGTCCGTAGTCGTCTCGACGACGCGCGCTGTCGAGCCCGGGTACGCCTGCACGGGCGTGGTGGGGCTGGCGACCTGGGCTTGCACGCCGGCGCGCGGCCGGCTGGGTTCGGCGACGGCCGCGGAGGGCTGCCGCTGCCGCCTGGTACGTGTTCGAGGTGAGCGTGTTGAGTCGAGCGATGGTCTGGCCGGCGACTGCCGGCGCCGGCGCCGGCGCCGCTTCCGCG